ATCTGCAGGAATGCAGCAATCCAGATGTGCATCCTCAGGGGCGTCTGTCTTCTCTGTAAATCCCAGCCAGTGCCAGGCCCCTCAATTCCAAGGGGAATTTCCAACCATCCCTGAACCATTCTCTCCAGCTCCCTCCCCAAAGAGCCAGTCTCCACTCTCAGAGGAGGGAGAGACCAGGGACTTGGACGTCTCAGATGATGATGGCCTAATTCCAGATCAGTCAACTTTTACTGGACTTTTCCAGCATGGCCTATTCAAGTGGCTTCTTTTTAAGGTGAAAAATTCAGCCTGGCTTGGGGCTCACTTTGCAGAGCCAGAACCAGAGGGCCTGACCAAACCAATGGATTCACTTTTCTCCAAGCCAATCTCAGAGGCAGAGGTAAGTCCCTCTCCGAGGCTATTCATTGATATGGTCCAGTGGCACTGGACCTCTCCTGGGGCAGGCCCAAATCCATCATCGGTGGACAGGAGATTTTATAACGTGGGCCAGGATCTGGCAAGATGCTCCAAACACCAGCTGTGGATGTCCCGGTGGCAGCATTACAGTCTTCTTCCACCATTTCTGATGAACCTGAAGACAGCCTAAAGCCAGAAGATAGGAGGGCAGACCAGATGCTGCAGAGGACTCATCAGGCAGCTGCATGGGCTGTCCGCCCATCGACAACCGCTTCCTTTTTCAACAGGGCCTCCTTGCTCTGGCTTCGCCAGCTGCAAGAGAGGATTCCGGCAGCAGATCTCAGAGCACATCAGGACATCAATAAGCTCGTGGAGGTGGTCCAGTTCTCGGCAGACACCACGCTGAACACGGCACAGTTTGCCTCAAAGGCCATTGTTTCCTTTGTAGTGGTTCGCTGCCTACCCTGGCTGCGACAATGGCAAGCGGACACCCGCCACAAGTGGTGACTTGCCTCAAACCCCTTCACAGGGGAGAAACTGTTTGGGGAGGCTCTGGACCTGGTGTTAGTGGAATCCAGAGACAAATGGAAAGTCTTGCCATCGTCTGTGGATCAGGTCTGTCACTTCGTCATCACCAAAAGCTGGGGAGCCCTAGCAACACAGGCGTGTCCTAACAGCTGTGACAGACTCAGTCCAATCAGCTAAGCAGACGAGGTCAACCTATTCCTGTCTGCTATCTCCACCCAACGAGAAGGAGCGTATTAGGCAAGACCAACATCTCTTCTCTTATTGATAATAACTTTATACACTTGGAGTTTGACTCTTATACATACATGTCTCATTAACCAGATTAATGTCAAATATTAAGTATTGCCCAAAACTGCTACTTATCATAAGTTTGCAGCAGGCAGTCTTTAGTGAAGTTTCGTGACATTACAATAAATAAAGTGTAGCTTTTATGTTGTAGATATTCCCATACACTTTTATCTTGCTTGTTCTTTTATATCTGTTTAAATCATATTTTTATACTTCATTAAAATAGTGCTCCTAATGGTGAAGAAAAATGAAAAGTGACCTAAAATGTAAAAATTATAATCTTAAAACTTTTATAAACTAAAATATTTAAAAACATAGTTAAATTATTAAAACCTATCTTGGCAGTGTTACTATTTTTGAACATTTCAGAACACTCAGAAATGCTCTGAATTTATCATATCTGTATATATAATGAGTGAAAATATGAAAGACAAGAGCAAGAATGCTTATCCCCTAATGATATGCTTGGCTGCATTACTCAGAAATGCTCTGAATTTATCATATCTGTATATATAATGAGTGAAAATATGAAAGACATATATATTCCTAGAACGGCCACAACTATATAGGATTGAACATTGCTAATGTAGGTACCTTTCTTCATTCTTTAGAAATGTCTGTCTAAAGTGTTCTGGTGGCTTTTAAAGCATGCTTGAATAAACTTTGTTTTCCACCATAAAGACTATTGACTTCAGCTCCTTACCTGACATTTTAAGCTTGATTTAAGAAATTAAGTAATGCAGCCAAGCATATCATTAGGGGATAAGCATTCTTGCTCTTGTTTAATATCAATCCACTCAAGCAACTGCTGGAGCAGAATTTGAACAGGCTGGCCCATATATCTAGAACTTGAATAATTTCTTCTCTAATAAAGGAGAACATTTGTAGCTCAAAGTTGAAATGAGGGGTCCTTGGTGCTGTCTGAGCTTGCTTGTTTTCTTGCAGACATTTTATTACCCTAACTAGGTAACATCATCATCATAGATAGGATAATGAAACAAGAAAACAAGCAAATTCAGTGAACACCAACAACTCCTCTAATTTCTTTTCCTCCTCCTCCTCCTCCTGTCTTGGCAGTGCAAAAAGTAATTTTATGGAATTGAGTGCTTGTTTGCAGTTACGATATTTGGTTTAGACAGGTCAGAAACAAAGTTTGGAGATGGTTCTTAATTCTTTTTCAAGTTTGGAGACAGTAGTTCTTTTTAAAATTTGTTTATTGGTAATGCCTGGCTTACCACTCTCACGTTTTTCAGTTATTTCTCTCTTATTTTTAATGTTGATTGTAATGCTAGTATTAGGTAATGAGGGCTGAGTCAGTGTAAAAATGTCATGTCGAAATACTTAATTCAAAATGAGTTGGACAACAGACTCCCTATTCTACAAATATCTGGGGCATATGCTTAAACTTTAGAGGTGGAAGTCAGTTAGTTAACATAATGTAACTCTATTTTCTTGGAGTTTTTTTTTTTTTTTACAAACTCCTTGACAAGTTTCTAATTTTAGTTGCCTAAATTGTGTATATCAGACATAGGCCTTTAATGGCCCACAGGCTGAATCTGGCCCTTCGGTCGTCCTTATGTGGCTTGCGGCATTGTCAAGGGGGCGCAAAGCATCAGCAGGGCATTGGCAGAAGGTGAAGTATCAGCAGAGGCATTCTCACCCTGCATAACAGTCCCAGTTTCTCATATGGTATCTTGGGAAAATTCATTTTCCACCCGTGCTGTACATAGTCACTTTCCTAGTATAAGCTGCACTGTAAAATTGGCATCTTCTGATTCTAATTGGTGAAAAATCTCAGTTATTTTGCTGTCAAGAATTTATAATAAAGTGGGAATACTAGGAAAAGTGAAATATTAAAAATTTGCCTTTCCTTTTTTTTTTTTTTTACCAAATTCTGTATTTTATTATGCTCAATTTATTATGCTCTTTGGTTTTTGTAAATAGTTTGTAGCATAGAAACTGATCTTAAATATGGAATGTATTACAAGTATACAGTTTCACCGTTTTGGCTAGAGAGAACAAAAATTTAGCTATTTTGAAATCCTAGTCTCAAGAACAAAAAGGTGAAGAAGACAGCGTGCTTAAAAGCAAGCAGTCAATAAGATTCTCACCTATCCTTGTTGGTTAAAACTGTTGGATTGAGATGGAAGGGAGGAGAATGCAGGCAGAGATGTAATCTGGTGTCTCTCACATCAAGGTGTTAAAAAGGAAGAACACAGATCAAGACATTTCTGTTCCCCCTAAGATAGATGGTAATTGCAGGAATGTGCTATGTAACACAGAAGCTGCCCCAAGGCATTAGAGAGGGCCACAGTGTGTAAAATCCAAAGGACTTCTGAGAAGGACTCTTCTCTCCAAACTTTGGTTTTACATACTTGTAGCCCCTTTCTTCTATAGGCCTTTTTCACATTATTCCCTATTAATTAATTACTTTATATGTATGGTGAGAATGTATGAGCATAAATAGAAGCTATACCCAAGGATGAATGCAGATTTGAGCAGGCCCTAGGGTTCCACTGGTATTAGGATTCTTAGATTATGACTGTAACAATCTCTAGGGCTAACAGATTGGTTTTTTAAAAAAGCAAGGATTGGATTAAAGTGCCTCTGAAGACATGCTCAATCTAGACGTTTGTGTAATATCAGCCCAGAAACTTGTATAGAAATTGTTTTTCACATGAATCTTTTTTCCAGTTTTGTTGTTCGCAGCAATATAACTAAATAGGAAAAGGTTTCATATGGGGCTATTATACCATTAGGAATCGGAGAGTTTTGATATAGAATTATATAGAGTTTTCCTTGTTCCATTAACTTGTCCTTGTCCTTGTCCCATTAACTATGATTTTCAGTCCACATGGAAAAAGCAAGATAACTGAAATCTCATCCTTGGGCTTCTCTCCAGATCCTTCTACTCAGCATGGGATATAATCAGGCCAAAGCACTCGTTTAAGACTTTTGTTTCTTTATATATTTCTGTTCTATATTTTTGAGCTCTTTATAATTATTCTTCGATACTGATATATTTTTATACATTACATTGTCTATACCTCATCCTTCTTATGCTGGTCTATGACCATAAGAAATATTTGCTTGACTGATATAAAGAATTCTTCCTGACATTCCTGACCTGTGATCATCTGATTTAAAATAAGTGCTGCAATTCCAAATAATACTGAATTATTTGATGATATTAAAAATCTAAATCAAAATGTATAAAATCTACATTTATACACCAGCTATTTAAAAATGTATATACAGTGCAGATTCATAAAATAAATGTAAGATAAGAATAATGGCTCAGTCTCAAAAGTGGTATTATAGGTTTTATTTTAAAGAGCTAAATTCAATATAATGAAAGGGAATTTCTTCCAATACATTTAAGGGCCAAGAAGAAATAAAAAGATTAGGAAAAGAAGTTTTCTTCATCTTTTTATTTCTTCTTAGCTCTTAAATGTCTTTTGCCAGTTATACCATTATGCTAATAGAGAGACACAGTTCACTCCAACTCCAATATGATTATAATTGAATTGTAAAAAAGCTCAAGGGTGAAAGGTAGTTCTATTATTTATTGTTGTTGTGTTATAGAAAATAATTCTTGTAAATAGACTTTTCCTGTTGAATATTGTTTTTTATTGTGATCAGTTTGATTACTGTTTTGAGTTTTTTGCAGAAACAGAAAGATGCAATTCTATTAAAAATAAGGTGGAAAGTTTCATAGAGGACAGAAACCTTCCTTGAAAAATGGTTCTAAAGATAACACCAGGCCTCTCTTTTCTTTTTTTGTGTAGAAGAAGTTGAGGAAGAATCTGAAATTCCCAAAGAAATAGATCTGACCGATAAACAGAAGCACCAATTGAAGCACAGAGAATTATTTCTGTCTCGTCAGTATGAGTCCCTGCCTGCAACACACATTCGGTAAGAAGTACTGTTCCAGTCATGGATTTCTGTGTTTGCTGCTAGCTAAATGATCAGAATAAGAGGTTTTGATGTTTTCATGGGATTCAGTAGTGCCACTGTAGAATTTGAATTTGTAAAATTCAGAAAAAGGATGCAAATGTCCTTATGTCATCTCACAAAATTACTAATTTACATTTTATTTTATTTTATTTTATTATTTCATTTCATTGTTCCAATGTTTTCTTTCATCATTAGCACATCATTAGCACATGTGTAATGCAAATTACACATCCCTGTAATGCAAAGCAGCAAAACACTTCTGAAAATGTAAGTTACTAAATAGAATATGTAGATGAAAACATGCAGTTTAGAAAGTATCCAACTTGGTCAGGTATGAATCTTGGAGGCTGAACCAGCAAGATGAACACATAAATGGGAGAAGTTAGTTCTCTGTCAGATGAGAAGAAAATATTCTGAAGGTTGTTCATTGGCTGGAGGTGAAAAGAGCCTTTCTGCTTTCATTATGTGGCAGGCAATATGTGGAAATGTATCCCCTAATCTATTATATCTGCTTGACCCTTGTCCCCAACTCTCAATTTTTCTCTTTCTAGCCACCCTGAGTAGTGGCAGATTGCTGAACCTAGATAACATTTTAATTCTTTGAGGAACTATAGAAATTAAAGGATAAATAAACCTACCCCCTTCCCCCTTAGTAGGTTTTTGATGGAAAGCAGATGAACAAATTCATATATGTGAATATGCATTCAGGGGATAGAAGAATAAATAAGGAAAGCCTTTTAAGATCACTACTCAGTTCTCTTGGATATCTGGCAATCTTAATCCATGCAGAAAATAAGTAATATTTTACCAGTATTATTTATCCATTTTGATTGATTTTTCTTTTGTAGTGTGAAATGCTCAGTAATATAATATTAATAATTAATATCCTTTAATGAATTATTATTTTTGCAATTATTAGACTATTGTAAATATAATATAAGTCTTGTGAAAAAATAGAAGACAAAATAATTACTGCCTTTATTTTATGTATAAAAGGTGGGGAAAACGTAATAATAATACACATAAATTGGTTAATATTAAGGTTTCTAATGAAAGTATTGTCTTTACTGCAACTATCATAATCTGAATGTGTGACATATCACTATATAATAAAAACTAATGTAGTTTCTATGATTATCTTGGCTTTACCTTTTTTCTTTGTTTCTTAAAGTATGATTCTTTAAAATGCAAATAGTTACTAGAGATTGATGTGATCTGAAGGATGTTGCAGTTGTTGCTTATTTGGGTATTTGCTTCCTCAGGTGTCATTTTGTTTTGACTGTTGTTCATGTACTGTTGAAATGAAATTGTGATACATGATTTGCAAAGAGATACAATTACCCTGCCATGAAATATGATCATCTACATATTTTTAGACATTCCCACTGTTTTTTTTCCAGATGTTTCTCTGCTTTGGCAAAGTTTAAGTTTATTTAGCATTTTAAATAATGTTTTGTAATTAATTGTGAAAAGCATGTAAAATTTATGTAATGTCATAAAAGTGAAATGAAAATAACTAAAATCTGAAACGTTACGGTGAGATTTGCGATAAGTAAAAAAATTGGAATTAGGATTACCAGACAATTTTATTTGTCACAAATGCTTTCATATCACTTGAGTCTCCAGACTCTAAATGCAAGCAAAGAATTAGAATGCAATAGAAGAGAATATATGTAGCTCAGGATTACACTATGGAATCCTTCGTGCCCGTTGATCTTCTTTGTTTGCTTGCTTGTAGATATTTCATTACCCAACTAACTCATCATCAGTGAGTGCAGGGTTTGCTACCTGTTTATGTACAATAGCTTGCTTGCCCTGTTTTGGTTGGGATGTGGTATTCTCCATGGGAGTTCCTTGATTAGGAAAATGAAATAATCAGGCAAACAATCAAGCGGAAAGCGATGGATGGATGGAAGGAAGGAAGGAAGGAAGGAAGGAAGGAAGGAAGGAAGGAAGGGGAAAGCTTCTCATGCTACCTGCTGACTTCCTATAAGGAAACTCAGTGGGGAAACCAGCAGGAATTTAGAAGTTGTTTCCACTTCTACTGTTTCTCTGTTTGTCTTTTTAGGTAAGGAAATATCTCTGAAATGATGATACAACAGGACATGGGTTGTCTAGTACCTAAAATAAAGTTAATACAATATATATCTTAATCTAATCCTCTATGTAATAGAATAATGTGGGGACGGAATGGCTATTTTTCCCTATGACTATCATTAAGTGTTGTATCTTATGATTCTAGACGAATGTATCTTTTTTTTTATGTACACAGAGAGAGTATGCACCAAGACAAAATCCTTGTGTGTCCAATCACACTTGGCCAATAAAGATTTCCTATTCTATTCTATTCTATTCTATTCTATTCTATTCTATTCTATTCTTCTATTATTCTATTCTATTCTATTCTATTCTATTCTATTCTATTCTATTCTATTCTATTCTATTCTATTCTATTCTAACCAAATTTTACTTAACTTTTATTAAAGGTTTGTTGCATTTGTCAGAGCCAGCAGCAGATTAGAAACAAGGAGATTGCGAGTTCTAGTCCTGCTTTAGGCATATAAGCCAGTTGGGTGACTTTGGACCAGTCACTCTCTCTCAGACTATCTCACTCACAGGATTATTGTTGTGGGTAAAAGAAGGATAAAAACAAATACATAACAGATGAGTTATACATGCCTAAATTGTATATTGAATATAAAATTATATATAAAAAGTATATGTTTATGAAAAGTTTGAACAATATTGTGTGGACTGATATATCAAACAATGGACCGTGTTGTATCCTGAAATTTAAGTTTTATTCATTATGTCAAAAATCTGCTGAAATAATTGCTGTGTGTTTAATAAAGGGGGAAAGGAATTCATTTTTGGCTAGGTGTTTCAGTAGTGCCTGAAACATATGAGGGAGGATGGGCTTATGTTTAGAAGACAAAGAAAATGAAGCAAAGGTTATTAAAAGGTTTACAAATCTAGAATGATGGGCTTTTTCTTAGAACTCTTTCTGAGTCAAAATTGAACCTTTATAGTTAAACTGAAGCATGTTATTGGAGATTGAGTATTGGCAATAAAATGTTCATATGAAATTTCCTTAATATTCCTGTTGAACTTTATGTGTAATTCCCCAATGGAGACTCAGTACATGTGCTAGGAACAGGTAAGCCATGTCACTAGATAGCACTGCCTTCATTATGAATCCTGAGAATTTATGAGGGATCAGTTTGTGTGGCAAAATATACATCTAAATCTGCAGTTAAACATAGTTGCTAAGAGAACAATGGTTCAGTTTTGTTTGATCTAGTATTTGATTGAGCTTTTAAACTGCTTTTAATTTTTAGACTGCCACAGAATATTATTAATCCAAAACAGGATATTTCCCTTACTACTTGACTTCAAAATGTTTAATAAAAATAAAATACAATTATTTTTAATATAGTATATTGGAGCACTACAAATCATATCTATCATATATTACAGATTATATTCCCTCTGAATTGTGTATTCATTTTTGAATGATCTCTAACAGTAATGGCTAACTTTTTTGCCATCGTGTGCCAGGAGTGGGGGGAGTGTGTGTGTGTCACGCGTGCACGTGGCCACACCCATAATTCTATGTGCACCGCCTCTGCACATGAGCGTGCGACCCCCCTCTCCCCGCTCCTGGCATGCAATGTCCCGTTTTTCTCTCTTCCCAGGCTCCAGAGTCTTTCTAGGAATCTGGGTAGGGTGAAAATGGGCCTTTCCCACCACCTCCCGAAGCCCTCCGGAGGCAGGAAAAAGCCTGTTTCCCTAATTCTGGTGGGCCCAAAAGGCCCCAAAATCAGCTGGCTGGCGCATGCACTCGCGCCGGAGCTGAGCTCACATGCCCACTGATATGGCTATGCGTGCCACCTCTGGCACATGTGCCATAGGTTTGCCATCACGGATCTATAACATACAGGTAGTTCTCATTTAGAATCACAATTGGGACCAGCAACTCACTTGTTAAGTAAAGTAGTTGCTAACAGAAACTGTGGCTCTGTTTTTGATGTTATTTCAGCTTTCCTTTGCTTTACAGATCTGCAAAGCAGGGGTGAAATGCTCCCGGTTCGGACCGGCTTGGGCGAGTAGGTAGCGATGATGGCCGGTGGTTTGGAGAACCGGTAGCAATGGAAGCTGGAGGCTCCACCCACCTGCCCCATTCCCCGGAGTCAGGGAATGCACCATGAAAGGTATCAGAGTCGCTCACTCTCCTTCTTGAATGAGCCACTCTGGTCCACATGCCAGCTGCACAAGCGCACATCCAACCTGCCGCTGAATTAAATAAAAGTGTGCGCTTCAAGGAGAGTGAGCGACTCCGGTCCCTTTCGGGCGCTTGCCTTCCCTGACAGCCAGCTGCAGGAGAAAGGTGAGCAGTAGGAGTTGGGGAATGGTGCATTCCCTGACTCCAGGAGATGGGGTGGGTGGGCGGAGCCGCGGGAGAAAGGTAAGGATATGCCAGCAGAATAGAAATTTAAAAATTTTTCTTACTGGGTTCTGTGGGCGTGACTTGGTGGGAGGGGGTCTTGTGACTGAGTGGACGTAGCTGAGTGACTGAGTTGGCCGCGCCCACTCAGTCACAGGACACTCCCCCACCAAGCCACGCCCACAGAACCGGTAGGGAAAAATTTTAGATTTCACCCCTGCTGCAAAGGTTGTGAATGCAAAGATTGTTTGCAAAGTTACTTTTTCATCACTGCTGTAACTGCAAACAGTCACTGAATGAGGCAGAGACTAAACAAGGACTACCTATATTAAGCTGTCTCTTTTTATTTCTATGTAGACCTACCTGTTTCAGTCTCAGAAAAAGCTACCACATAAATAACTAGCTACTCTTGCTTATGTATACAGAACATAAAGTTTACAAGTAAGATGCATCCTATTGAAGCAACTTAACACTTATATCTCAACTCAGATATTGATTAAACAGGTATCTTTAC